TGGTGAGGGGTGATTGGTGGTGGTGAGTGGTGAGTGGTGAGCGTGAGTGGTGAATGGTGAGGGTGAGTGGTGAGGGTGAGTGGTGATGGTGAGTAGTGAGGGTGAGTGGTGATGGTGAGGGGTGAGTGGTGAGGGTGAGTGGTGAGGTTGAGTGGTGAGTAGTAAGGGTGAGTGGTGAGGGTTAGTGGTGAGGGTGAGTGGTGAGGGTTAGTGGTGAGGGTGAGTGGTTAGGGTTTGTGGTGAGGGTGAGTGGTGAGGGTAAGTGGTGATGGTGAGTAGTGAGGGTGAATGGTTAGGGTGAGTGGTGGGGATGAGTGGTGAGGGTGAGTGGTGAGGGTGAGTGGTGAGGGTCAGTGGTGAAGGTGAGTGGTGAAGGTGAGTAGTGAGGATGAGTGGTGAAGGTGATTAGTGAGCAGTGAGGATGAGTGGTGAGGGTGATTAGTGAGGGTGAGTGGTGGTGGTGAGGGTGAGTGGTGAGGGTGAGTGGTGAGTGGTGAGTATTGTCAAAGCCCACCGGGCTTTGACAATACCTTAGTATCTGTATATATATGTAAGGTTATTAAGAAATATATTTTTCACCCGGGCAACGCCGGGTACTTCTGCTAGTCTTCTTCTTATATATAAAAGTCTTCGCGTGCTCGCGCTTGCGGGGGATTTGGCTCTCGGACGGTGGGCTGAACATAGAAATTTTTTTTACAGGCGGCACGCCCTAAGCCCCGCGGTGGGAATAGGCTATTCCGTTTTCCAATCCGTAAACTTTAAAGTAGTTTAATTAACACATTTGTGCCGTTTCTGTGATTAATTATTTACTTATTGCGCCACATCGACCGTACCAAGTGACGCTAATTGCGTTGGGGGGGGGGGGACCCTGTCAAGTGGTGCGCGTTCACTCGAGCTCACGGGGACATTTTATGTTACGCGTTTAACAAGGAATAGATATACACATCACGCTGCCGATTTCTCTTCAAAGTGTGATGTCCTCTTCCCCCCCCCACCCCAATGCATACAGTTACTGATATAAAGTCCTTAGATATTAATTTAATGTTATTTAAGCGCTTATATAGTATTATTCTGGCGAGGGCGGGCGGATGGTGGGGGGGGGGGGGGCGAGGGTAGTGGCCCAGCCCGCAGCCTGGCAATATCTCACCTCCTCTGGCTTGCCAATCTGGCGAGGCCGCGGGCTCTGCACGGGACGAGGCGTTACTACGCCAATGTAAAGTACTATTTTATTCAATCTTTCGCTAACAACTCAGGTTTATTGCTTTCTATTATTAAACAAATACATTTACAAATATTACAATGATGTTTGTGTACACATAACAACTTCGTCTTCATTCTTTACTATTATTAAACTAATAAGTTGCTTAATACTCTATTACTATTATAATGTTCGTGTGCAGAAACTACATGCGTGTGCCTAAAGTCGATGTCTGTGCGAGTCCATTTGCGTTTGTGTGCGTGTAAGTCGATGGGTTTCTACATGTGTGGGTCCATGTGTGTGTGTAAGTCCATGTGTGTGTCTGTCTTTTTGAAACGGACAACGCCCCGTGTGTGTGTACGTACAATTGTTTGTGTGTGTGTGTCAGTCCATTTGTGTGCGTATCTGTCGCTGTGTGTGTTTTAGTCCACATGTGTGTGTAAGTCCATGCGTGTGTGTTTCACTCGATGTGTATGTGTGTAAGTCAATGCGTGTGTGTGAGTCGATGTGTGTGCATGGCTCCATCTGAGTGTGTAAGTCAATGTGCGTTTGTGTGTCTATGTGTGTCAGTCGATGTGTGTGTGTGTTAATCCATGTGTGTGTATCTAAAGTAGATGTCTGTGTGTCACAGTCCATATGTCTATGGGTGTGTAGGGAAATGTGTGTGTCAGTCTTTGTAAGTGTGTGTAAGTCCATGTGTGTGTCTTAGTCGATAAGTGTGTGTAAGTACATGTGTGTTTACATCAATGTGTTTGTGAGTCCACGTATGTCTGTGTGTGAGTCGATGTGTGTGAGTCACTGTATGTGTGTACGTCGATAAATGTGTTTGTAACTCCATGTGTGTGTATCTAAAGTGCATGTCTATGCTTGTGTGAGTCCATATGTGTGTGTGTGTAAGTCCATGTCTTTGTGTGTGTGAGTCGATATGTCTGTGTGTCAGTCCATGGCCGTCTGTGTTAGTCGCTTTGTGTGCATGGCTCCATGTCAGTCAGTGTAAGTCCATTTCTTTGCGTGTCTGTAGGTCCATGTGTGTATGTGAGTGAATGTATGTGCTTTATTGACCTGCTCAAGGCCTATGATACCATCAGTAGGCCTGGCCTCTGGGTTGTTCTTCATGCTTTCGGAGTCCCTCAAACTTTGCTCACGATCCTTAAGGACCTTCATGTTGGTGAGCGGCCCCGCGTCAAACTACGTGGCTGTCAGTCAGAGCCATTCCCTCTACACCTTGGGGTGTGACAGGAATGTCCTCTGGCTCCACATTATTTAACATATCTTTTTACCACGTAGTTGGTGAAGACTTCAATGGCTGTTCCCGAGGAATTACCATATGGTACAGATACAATGGGAGGTTGATCGATGCCCGGGTGCGGTCAAGGGATGCCTCCCTATTGCTCAACCATGTTATGTATGCCGATGCTCTGGTGATTGCTGCTCACTGCGGCTGAACCTGGAGCTTGCCACTAAGAGGTGGGGCCTTACCATTAGCCCCACCAAAACTAGAGAGATTGCCGAGATTCCAATACCTGCCCAGTGTGCTCATGACCGGCTCCGGTTTAACAGCAGAGGTCTCACTCCAAATCAGTGGAGCGGCATTATCTTTTCATCAGTTGCGTAATGCTGTGTGGAAGCTACCTGGTCTTTCGCTCCGCATGAAGCTCCAGGTCTTCTCGGCCACGGTAATTCCCTCCCTTCTCTACGCTTGCGAAACATGCACCCCCCTAATGGAACATCTTCGCCAGTTAGAAACATTTAGGCTGGCCTGCTAACGATCCTTTCCTGGATTTAACCATATTTGTGTGTGTGTGTCTAAGTTGATGTGTTTCTATGTGTGTGGGTCAATGTATGTGTGTAAGTCCATGTGTGTATCTTCCTTTTTCGCCCAAGCAACGCCGGGTACTTACCGCTAGTAAATGTATATAAATGAAGCAGACTTCCTGTGTTTTTTTGAGAACCAAATTGCACCAACACTATGAAACCTACACACCCCATATTTTCCATGTGTACTCAAGGGTAAGTTATTATGTTTTCACGCAATTTTTAGCTTACCTGTTCACCTTCAACACCTGTAACACCTGCACACTCCAACACCCCGCTGCTGCTATATTTTTTCTCATTTACCACATTATCCTTACATATTATCAGGCCTGCATTTTTGCCACAAAATTCATTCACTTCCGACTCCTTACTGTCCTCTCTGCACACGCACGGCTCACCTCTAATATACTGCAATATTTCATCATGGAACCTTTGCCAGTACCAAAATATGAGAACAGGTTTTCCCCGTTTTTCTGGCAACAAAACAGGTGTTAAGATGTTAAAACACCAAACTGAAACCTTTTACAAGGAATCATGTGTGCATTAACCACAATACTTGTGGTCAGAATGCAAACAAAAACACTCTGATAGAAAATGCATGGTCTGCTGCTGAGGCAGACTGTTTTAGAAGGTTTGAAATGGGTGTAGCCCAAGGGTCATAAAGAAGTGGCCGGGGCAAGTGATGTTAACGTAATAAATTAGCATGTTTATGTGAAATCGAAAAGTGGTGCAATCCAAAGCGGCCTCCCTACAAGACAGAGAAGGAGCGAGGCTCTACCTGGGTAAACAACAACTACCACCACGACAACAATAACCACGATGTGAACTTCTCACTTCGGATCTCAGTGAGCACGCATGAAAATAAATCACGCTTGCTAACACAGAGCACACGCCTGGGATACACTGCCAAGTTCATAGATGACCTCGCCACCGAGAAAGTTCAGCATTATCTGACAAGCACAACGGGGTGGAAGTTAGATGCGAACTGCCCATATCCCCCATTTAACACCCTTGCCGAGCACGCTTGTGTGAGAGATTTGCTCGCGAGCGTGCGGAATTCCGACGGCTGGGACGGGATAGAACCATTGCAAGTCTTCTTCCAGAGGAGGAGGTGAGGGGGGGGGGACGAGGGAGCCTCCGGGATCCCGTGAGACAACCCCAGGATGGGTGGCAGGGATACAGACCGGCATAGGAGATAATGCAGGCCATGAGACCCAAGTACGCGAGGAGGTAACCCAAGTATGCGGGGAGGTAACCCAAGTACACCTGAATGTGACCAAGCTGCAGTCCACAGCGGAGATAGTCCAGTCCGAGGTGGGAGGGCTGCGCTCCATGGTCGGGGGGCTAACCAGGCGAGTATCTCAATAAGAGGCAGAACTCGAACAAATGCACACTGGGAGGGTAAGGGGGAGTGGGAAAGGGGCCTCTTATGGAGCCACCGCCCTTCCCCGTGCGTGCTATCTATGCGACCAATGGGGGCATCTCGTGAGAGACAGTCCCCAGATCGCCCGCGCGAGAGAAGCACCAGGGTTAAACACCAAGGCCTCCCTAAAGAGGGGACCACAGAGGGGTGCAATCCACGTGGTCCCAACACAAATAAACTGTCATGATAATGGTGAGCGAGTGACCCCCACGCCGACAACAACACCCCAGAATGCGGCGACTGCGGGTGACTGGCTGCGGGAGCTGGTGGCAGGAATAATGGGGGCCACGTCGCTCGTGGAAGGGCAGGTGAACAGGCGGCAAACCCGGATTCTGCTGGACACGTGGGGCGGTAACGTCACTCATGAGTGCAATACATTGCAGCGTGGTCGGGGTTGAAGTGAGCCGCCTACAGGCCCCGGATCGTGCGCTGCACACTGCAAGTGAAACTGGGATGGGACTGCTGGGGAGGGTCACCCTTAAGGGTCGCCTCAGACACCAGGTGTGTAACCAGGAGTTATACGTGTCGAGCGTGTTATGCCACGAGTGTATTGCAGGTACCGACCTCCTGGAAAAGTTGGGGATCAGCGTGCAGCCACCGTGGAGGGCAGCGGGGAGCGGATTCCTTTCTTGGGACAAGAGCCGGGTTGCCCTAGCTTCGAGCCCGTGGTCGCTATCCTGGCGTCGGCCGTCACCGTCAGCATTGGTGTTCCACTGGGTTTTCCGTTTTTCTTCCAAACCTAAACTCAAAATATATTTGGTGGTGGTCAAACAGTCCAATGCAGGACCCTCCTGAAACATAATCTTTAACTGCTAAATAAAAAATTAAATTGAAAAACCCTCAAACACAGTACAATATTTTTATTTTACCAGGTGAGGCCCACTGAGCTGCATAGTTATTTTTCAGAATCGACCTGGACACAAATGATAGCTCAACTTTGTGGGTTATAATATGGAAATGTTTTGCAGCAAAATTCTCAAAATGCACGTTTCTAAATGTGGAGAAAAATCAATGCCACTACAGGGAGTGAAAAAAAAATGTAAACTGTAATTATAAATGCGTCAGGGTTGGAATCGAACCGACGACATTCTGCATACCATGTGAGGTAGTTGACATCTTGCCACCCTAGTACAATATATCACACACAAACACATTACAGTGAAACCTTGGATAAGCCACTTTTTTGTGAGCTGGTCGCTTCTGAAAACAAGAGCTATATAGCAGCTGAAGTGGGCTTGACCTAGTAGGATAAAAAAAATAAACTGTAGAAATAATTAAAAGAAACAAAGTTTCAAAGTAGTGAGCCAGGTGAAGACAAATTAAACTTAAGCAGAGAATTAAAGCAAATGCAATCAGGCGAGGGCAGGAGGCAAGGCCCCGCATGGCTAGGCCCCGCGTTGTAATGTACCAACCTGGACATCGATTCCATACTCGCTGCTACTCAAGTGATATCCCTACGAGAGAGACGGAGCGAGGCTCTACCTGGGTAAACAACAACAACAACCACCACAACAACAACCACCACAACAACAACAACCACGATGTCAACTTCTCACCTCGGATCTCAGTGAGCGCGCGCGCGGTGCAGCAGCTTCCGGATACGTCGTGACGTCACGCGGCAGCAGGAGGTGACATGACGTCACTAGCGGGGTTCACCACACAATCCCCTCCCCCAACGATCAGCGGTGTAATTGAATAAATTATGTTAATGAGCCGGGCCCACGTGGGGTGATTGGGCTTGGCTGCTGAACCCGTCGCAATAAACTCGCGACGGTAATCCTGAATCAATTATGTTAATGAACTGCCAGTCAAATTCGCGGTGGAGGGGGTGGGATTGAATATCTTGGTGACATGACGTCACGAGCGGGGAACAGCTTTCCCTGGCGTCTCACGCCGACGAGTTAATGAGTGGTGACGTCACTGTGTGTGTATAAACTGTGTGTGTGTACCCTGTGCGTGTGTACACTGTGCGTGTGTACACTGTGCGTGTGTACACTGTGCGTGTGTACACTGTGCGTGTGTACACTGTGCGTGTATAAACGGTGTGTGTGTACCCTGTGCGTGTACACTGTGTGCGTGTACACTGTGTGTACAAACTGTGTGTGTGTACCCTGTGCGTGTGTACACTGTGCGTGTGTACACTGTGCGTGTGTACACTGTGTGTACAAACTGTGTGTGTGTACCCTGTGCGTGTACACTGTGTGTGTGTACACTGTGTGTGTACCCTGTGCGTGTACACTGTGTGCGTGTACACTGTGTGTATACACTGTGTGCGTGTACACTGTGAGTGTACACTGTGTGTGTGTACACTGTGTGTGTGTACCCTGTGCGTGTACACTCTATGTGTGTACACTGTGTGTACAAACTGTGTGTGTGTACAAACTGTGTGTGTACACTGTGTGTGTGTGTACACTGTGTGCGTGTACACTGTGTGTGTGTACACTGTGTGTGTGTACACTGTGTGTGTGTACCCTGTGCGTGTACACTCTGTGTGTGTACACTGTGTGTACAAACTGTGTGTGTGTACAAACTGTGTGTGTGTACAAACTGTGTGTGTGTACACTGTGCGTGTACAAACTGTGTGTGTACAAACTGTGTGTGTGTACACTGTGTGTGTACAAACTGTGTGTGTGTACACTGTGTGTGTACAAACTGTGTGTGTGTGTACCCTGTGCGTGTACACTGTGTGTACAAACTGTGTGTGTGTGTACACTGTGTACAAACTGTGTGCGTGTGTGTACACTGTGTGTTGGCACAGTCGGGGGTACAGATGGTGCATCGGCCAGTCAACTGAGTCAGTCGACCCATGGCACCTGGGTCTACCCCGTGCACATAGCTTGGCACAAGCGCCATGGTGACGTGACCGCCACTTTGTGGCGAATGGCAGTTGTTGTTCTTGTTACTGTGTGTGTCCGGCAAAACAAGAGATGGCACCTCAGCCAGCCATCTCATTGAGTAGCCATTACCAGATCATCAGCAGATGCAACAGGGCTGACCAGCAGGGAAACAGGTCCCTGCGGGGTGGGCTGGTAGGAACGCACAAATGAATGGCTATAATAAAATTAAATGGCGGGGGTACGATACAAAGGGAGAGTTTGAGGCCTAGTTCTAGGCTTTAGGCCTAGCTGTAGGCTTTAGGCCGCTGTGAGTTAATTTTAAATTTAAATGTTTAATTAAAAGCTATCTCAGGGAATTATAAGGGAATGTTACACTTGTTTAGCCAGGAAAGCCTCACTGAGTCTAAAGGTTTTTGTAGGGTCCTGCCAAGTGTTTGCAGTAGGGGGCGATGTTGCTACACGTAATCGGACATCGGACGGACAAACGATATAATCTATTGTAGGCTGGTTCACTTCGTTCCTACCAGTATAATCCCTTAACTATAACCAGTCATCGATAAGCATATTATTTTTAACTGCAACGAATCCAATTTATTTATACGGCCATTGTGAGCTCCTCAAACTACATAATTATTGAACATGCTATGTAATGTGTAATAAACCCTGTTGAGACGTCGTGAATTGAGAATTCTTTATTTAGTTTCGTTCACAGCTTCCACCACATTCGTTCCTCCAGTTCCCTTGCTCCTTCACGCTGTTGGCTGACAGCGAGAGAGACTGCGGCGGCCCGCCACGTGGCAGGCTCCGGACCACGACACCAGCCACGTGGCTTCTCCGCTCCTTTTAATCCCTGGCCCACGTGATGCCCCGCAGCCAATCCTCAGCCACACCCCTGGAACTTTCCCGAAGCTACTGTACGGCTCCAGGGCCACGCCCCTAACTCGACTCCCCATTGGTTGCGGGCTGAGGCCGGCAGAGCCCATCATTATTATCCAGGTGTAACCTCACATTACAAATGAAATGCATTGGGCCAGAGTGAATTTCTGTCACAAGCCGAGTTGAACAGGAAATGGTTCCAACTCCTGGTCACGCAGCTTTAGATGGGCCTGCCCAAAATCATAAAAATCCTCAACGAATGTGAGCAGAGGCAGAGACATCGAAATCAAGGAACCCAAAGCACCAAGCCTATTTAGGGTACCATAGGCCTGCTGTACTCGATAGACAGAAAATACAGCCGCCCCTTGAATATCGTAGGTTACGTTCTTGGAAAATGCCGCGCGACGGCTAAAAACGCGATATTCAATACTTAAGCCTTACCCAAGTAATAGCGTTAGGTAAACGTCAACTAAAATTTACATCACAATAGAAATACGTACTGTATTCCAAATCAACTAAAAATTAAACAATTGAAATAAACATTGGGAAACCGTGTCTCATGCTTTTGGTTACAGGTCTACCCAACACTTATGGTCACACATGCTGTCTGCTTCTACTCGACCTTGTCTGAAAAGTCCTCCCAAAACTCCACATCCACAAATGGATGTGATTTGTCTCGGGCTTCATTAGTGACCTGGAAGTCAAACCCTAGAGCCTTCACAGGTCACCTTCACGAATGGTGACGTTTCCCAGCTGCCATCTTTATTGGGTCCTTGCATCACAAACGATGGGCTTATGGAACTTCAAATTTCACACGTCAATCTCAGACTCTGCTCCTTGTAGACCTCCTTACACGTGTTTCAGTTTCAAGACAATTCAAAAGGCCTTCCAATTGTACATTAAGTGGTTTTTAATGTGTGTTCCCTGGCAGTTGTGAAGATTTGATTACTGTGTAAATGCATTCCAAGACAGTGCAGTCGTTAGATTCCGTGGAGGCGAGTTCTGCTCTTGGTGACATCACAAGCCAGAGAGAGGGGGAGGCCCTGACGTAACCCACTCGTTAATTTGAGGTGACGTCTTCAGAGGGAGCGTCTACATATTTAGGTAAACATGTGGTAAACAAGGTGGTATATCAATGCAGACAGATATATCTAAAGTTTTATTTAAATAGAAGTTAAAATTCAATAAAACCTAGGCTAGAATACAAATCTGTAACAAAAATCCACGATGCCTTCAAATGTGCTCTTTAAAGTACCTCCTTGCGAAAAAACAGATCGGCAGACATCTTTCATTCAACGTTCTCTACACGAAACAAAGGAATGTTTTACACAAACTGTAAATACCACGGCCTTTTAGGAATGCATGTGTAATGGGTTCCGGAGACACTTGTAGAGGTATCTTCTTTATTACAACAAAACACTCCAACAGTCCTGATACTCTGTTACAGCCTAGGTACACAGCCTAGATACACTACTCTGGCTACGCTCTGGGCTCCTCCGGCTGCAATTACCCGAGGGGAGGCTAATTGACCCGACCCAGCCAAGGTGCGGGTCTGGACTCTGGCTTCCTCGGAACTCGCCCTTACAAGGACGTAGAGCCGGGAGTCCCAGAGTCCCACCACTGGCCCTCACAGCGTCCCGGCCCATACAAGGACAAGCGGGACGAGGGGGTCCAGGGTCCTAAGTTGGCTGGTCTTGGGTCTTGAGCTGCAACTGCCCCCGATCGGCCAGGGAGCTGCCCTTTTATATGCCTCGTTCCCAACGAGGGGTGGGGTTGTGTGCGCCCCCAGATATCCCACAGAGCATGCACAGCCCCTCCCCCCGTTGGTGGCGTCAAGGGGTTTAACTGTTTGGGGTGCCTGGGATCCTAGCGCCTGGCACCGAGGGCTTATCTGCCTAGGATCCGAGAGCCCCCAGCAGCCCCTCCTCTCTTATGGCACTACACATGTGTTCAGTACAAGCCACCTGTGGACTGGTTTTGGTGTACAATGTCTCAACAGTCCGGCTTGCTTCAACTGATGTTCATCGGCAAGGTCCATTTCAAGTCTCAGTTCGACAAAATGTATACGTAATACAAAATGATAATTAGTGTTCTTGTGGAGAATGTATCTCCTATACGTAACTTATAAGTGGCATACCTTAACTGATGAATGATCCGACTATGCTCCCGATTTCAAAGACAATGAGTTGCCCCAGTCAGATGCGGCCTGATTCACAAAAACACCCTTTGACCCGTATCACAAAAATAACAGCTCTCACGTGAGCTTTTGTACAGGTTACCACCAAAACAGATACTTTGTCCTGACAGCACATATTCCATGTTTGACATTAATACACAAAATGTTGTATGTACGTACAAAATCTGACGGGTATTCTTTCAATTATGATTCAAAATAATCAAAGGGCACATTGGTAACATTTTATAACTATACTGAAATGTACTGCGTCACGTTGCAACGTATTTACAAGTTGATCTCTGCCGAGATGAGGCCTATATGTGCAGCACTCTCATAGAGGGAAGTCAAGTAGTAGTACATTCTCTATGTTGCAAAGGTTCAAGGTTCAAATCCGACTGGCATATCAAACATCTCCCCCAACTTACAAACTCATATCCACATGCAGGCCAGTGAACGGTCACCTTGTGGCACACAGGGGCAGATGCCCATTATGGGCACCCATCGAGTGTCTAAGATGAGATATGATACAAAACACTTGAGTCACTCCTGGTTAGAGATCGCCCCAACCCACAGGTTCACAAATACTGGCCACGCTTACACTCCAGTTTGAACCTAGAAATTGAGTGTTCAACTTCACATTATATTCATTAGAAAGGCCTGTGACAAAGGTGCATCCATTGGAGCTTAATCGTCTGAAGCTTGCACATCTACCTGGTCTCCATTTGACTTTGTATTGTCTAAGAAGTCCACCCACACCTCCACATCCACAAACTCCTGGGAGTTGCCTCGCTCTGCCTCACAGTCAGAATTTATTTCCTGTTTCACACTGCCTCCATCTAGGTGAAGGTCCGATTTTGGAGTTGAATAATCTTCAAATTTAACCTTCACTTCTACGCTCGTCACTGTTACTTCTTCACATTTCACTTTCGCCTCTTCATATTTCACCTTGATACCTTTCAAAGTGTCCAGGCTGCGATTGTCTTCTGGTTCTTGTTTCATGAACAATGGGGTCATTGCAGCACATTGACTTTCACAAGCTGATTTCAGATTACACTTCTTGTGGATTTTCTGATGCGTGCGTGTTCTCTGGTGTTTTTTAAGATTTGATGAATGTGCAAACACTTTCCCACAAACACTGCACTTGAAGAGTTTCTCTCCTGTGTGTGTTTTCTGGTGTCGTCGAAGAGCAGATGAATCTGAAAACGCCTTCTCACACACACTGCACTTGAAGGGTTTATCTCCTGTGTGTATTCTCTGGTGGGTCTGAAGAGTGGATGACTTTGCAAACGCCTTCCCACACAGAGTGCACTTAAAAGGTTTCTCTCCTGTGTGTGTTTTCTGGTGGGTCTTAAGATTTGATGACATTGCAAACGCCTTCCCACACAGAGTGCACTTAAAAGGTTTCTCTCCTGTGTGTGTTCTCTGGTGTTGTTTAAGAGTAGATGAATAAAAAAAATGCCTTCCCACACACTGCACTTGAAGGGGTTATCTCCTGTGTGTGTTCGCTGGTGTCTTTGAAGATGTGATGACTGTGCAAACGCCTTCCCACACACAATGCACTTGAAATGTTTCTCTCCTGTGTGTGTTCTCTGGTGTCTTTGAAGATGTGGTGACTGTGCAAACGCCTTCTCACACACAGTGCACTTGAAAGGTTTCTTTCCTGTGTGTGTTCTCTGGTGTTGTTTAAGAGTAGATGAATAAAAAAATGCCTTCCCACACACACTGCACTTGAAGGGCTTATCTCCTGTGTGTGTTCTCTGGTGGGTCTTAAGATTTGATGACATTGCAAACGCCTTCCCACACAGAGTGCACTTAAAAGGTTTCTCTCCTGTGTGTGTTCTCTGGTGGATCTTAAGATTTGATGACAATGCAAACGCCTTCCCACACAGAGTGCACTTGAAAGGTTTATCTCCTGTGTGTGTTCTCTGGTGTTGTTTAAGAGTAGATGAATACAAAAATGCCTTCCCACACACACTGCACTTGAAGGGTTTATCTCCTGTGTGTGTTCTCTGGTGGGTCTGAAGATATGATGACAATGAAAATGCCTTCTCACACACAGTGCACTTGAAGGGTTTCTCTCCTGTGTGTGTTCTCTGGTGCTGTGTCAAGTTTCCAGTACGATCCGTGCTGTTTGCATGCTGGTCGCATTGTTTCCTTCTTGTACTGAACTGCGCTGAGTGCCTTTGCTCCATCAGGCCAATTCTGCAGAGAGAGCGTCAGCTGCAAACAGAAAAGCATGTCCACACCATCTATGTGAGTATTGAGGCACAGAGGAATGCATATATACACAGTCACACATGACTTACACATCTATACATATTCATATTTTCATGATATAGTGAAAGAGATTCCCCAATTCATCACACGGGCTGTTAAGGCACACAATGCGAGGGCAAATGGTCATAAATATGCCTGGACACCCTAGTGTCTTCAAAATTAATGTTTACCAAAAACTCCAAGCACACAATTTCGGTTGTCTAGCTACGACAGGAATATTTAAGAAAAAATGTGTTAACCTAGCAAAGGCTTTTGAAAATAATACTATTTGTATTATGCAGAAATTTATAAATTATTGTTCATTTGCAACTTAGAGGTGTGAAGCCAGGCTCAGATTAACTTGAATGCGAGGATGAACAGATTTAACTTCAGCTGCATATGTGCTGTTAATTTCCTGACTGTTTCCATTCTTATGAAAATTTCCAAAGCAAAACTAAAATAAACTATATTTATGATTTAACCTCCATGTTCAATCGAGTCAATATACTTGACAGCAAATACAAACTTCACATGTTCATACACTTGCATGGTAAAAAGGTGGTTAAATTTTGACTTAAAACTTTCGTGACTGCAGGAATTAATATTCTTTGGTTATTTCGGAAAAGTCAAGTAGATAGAAAATAATAACACAAATAAAGTGAATATAAGAAAAAAAAACGACTAATGTAGACTGTAGCCTGGTTCTTTACCTCGGTGAGCGCAGAGGCGTAGCTAGGATATTTTGTGCCCAGGGACGAACTATAAAATTGGCGCCCCCCCCCCCCCCCCCCGTTTAATCACATTTTCCTATTACATCGAATAAGGAATAACAATTTTAATGAAACATTGTATATAAAGAAGCAAATTCATAGAAATTATATTACATGGCTCACTCAGTCACTGTCGTAGACTGGTTGACATAGTCTACAAAAGATTATTGTTTCTTGATTTCACTGTCGCAAACTGGTCAATCACGTAATCAAAATATGTTTTTTCCAATGTTTTTCTTTCAACGCTAAGAAGAGCAAGATCGCTGAGACGATCTTGTCCCATTGAAGCACGCAAATACGACAAAATAAGTTTCAATTTGCTGAACGACCGCTCACAGCTTGCAATTGAAACTGCTACTGTTAATAAAATTTGCAGTGAAATTCGCAAATTCGGAAATATGTCGTCTCCATAAAACACAATAAAACCAAGAAGATCCAAAGGAGTTTCTGGTAGAACTTAATTCCGGTTACCGAGCAGCATTTTGCAATCTCCAAATTCTGTGAAAAGTTCGTGGCCATTGATGTCGGTGTCATAGAAATTTCCAAAATCTGTGCAATTTCGACGAATTGCATCGACATCTGTGCCAGTTCTCCCGGCATCTTCCGACGTCACCTAATTCTTCTGTCCACATCGATCCCCCAGGCGCTTCTGAACACGATACATTTTTCCAAGAATGACATTCCAGAAATGTAATAAAACTATGAAGTAAAAATTTAATACGCATGCCTGTAACTGTTCTGCATCACTTCTGGTTTCAGGCGTCATAGTTACGTCCTCCGACAATTTGTCTAGCAGCCCTACTAGTTCATCCATTCCTTCATAGAGAGCTTTAACAGCTTCTGATCGTGCACTCCTGCGTGTTTCAGACTCCCGCTTTACTGTGATGGGCACAGCTTTTTTTAACTCTTCCCAATGAATTGTTGAACGAGAGAAAAATATATACTTTCAACTGTTCCAAAAAACGTGACGACAAGTGGATCCTGTTTAGCTGAGTGTACTCCTGCTAAGTTTAAGCTGTGGTTGTCACAGTTGACAAACAATGCTCTGTGATTTTTGTCACATATTCGTTGTTGAAGGCCGGATATATGCCCAGTCATCACAGCAGCATTGTGATAACATTGTGCCCGACAGTCGGCTAGAGGTATGTTGTCAAATTTCAGTATCTCGACGATGACTCTTTCTAGGCTTGCTGCATCTTTTTCATGTATCTCGATATAACCTAAAAAAGATTTTTTGATAGTTACTTTTTTAGTTTGAAAATCCACATCCACAAATCTTATGACCTGAGAAAATGTAATTACATGCAATGTAGGCTGTGTGTGGCGGGATATATAAACTTTTAGGTTGAGGTGTAGATTTGCGCAGTAGTTTCAGGCTGCCGCGCCCGCCGCAATAAGTGATAATGTAACGTTGTAAGCCTCATTTAGGCGCCCCTTTACCTTGGCGCCCGGGGACATATGTACCCCCCTGCCCCCCCCTAGCTACGCCTCTGGGTGAGCGTACTGGCAGTCTATAATGTAGACTGTAGCCTGGTTCTTAACCTCGGTGAGTGTATTGGCAGTCTATAATGTAGACTATTGCCTGTTTTTTGACGAGACCTTTGCAATGGACTAGACCTTGGCGATGGACACTCACAGCTTTGTATGTAAAAAAGTCCAGGCAGCTTCCACATAGTGTTACAGAGCCTAATGAAAGAATGCTGCTAGACTAATTTGAAGTGACACTTTGGATGCCAAATAAGGTCATGAACACATTAACCTGGTATAGGCGCTCCTCCACCACGTGTAGAACGACCTGATTATTCATGGAGAGCTGAGCAGGTGCAGTGTTGTATGACATTAAATTCCCAGGGAGGTATTCTTTGGGTCTTTCGGTAAAGTCACGTCACTTAACCGAAAGACCCAAAGAATATGAATTCCTGCAGTTACGAAAGCTTTAAGTCAAGATTTTCCCAGGGAGGTGATCTTTTTGTAGAACATATGCAAGGCCCCATTTCGTCATGGAATTCTCCAGGTATAGAACACGATTCTCCAACTCAATATCATTGAGTAGCCATGACCAGATCATCAACATGCGTAACATGGTTGACCAGCAGGGGACGATCCCTTGACTAGAACCAGGCATCGATTAGCGTATCATTGTTACTGTATGAAATGCAATTTTGTATAGGGCCATTGTGAGCTTCTCAAAATACATCATTATACTTAAGCATTACCTAAATAATGGGGTTAGGTTAACGGCAACTAAAATAAACATCACAATTGAAATAAGTACTGTACTGTATTCCAAATAAGGAATCATGTGTGCATTAACCACAATACTTGTGGTCAGAAAGCAAACAAAAACACTCTGCTAGAAAATGCATGGTCTGCTGCTGAGGCAGACTGTTGTAAAAGGTTTGAAATGGGTGTAGCCCAAGGGTCATAAGGAAGTGGCCGGGGCTAGTGATGTTAATGTAATAAATTAGCATGTTAATGTGAAATCGAAGAGTGGTGCAATCCAAAGCGTCCTCCCTACAAGACAGAGAAGGAGCGAGGCTCTACCCGGGTAAACAACAACTACCACCACGACAAGTCTTCTTCCAGAGGAGAAGCTCGCGAGAACGGTGAGGGGGGGGGGGGGGGACGAGGGAGCCTCCAGGACCCCGTGAGACAACCCCAGGATGGGTGGCAGGGATACAGACCGGCATAGGAGATCACAGGCCATGCAACCCAAGTACGTGAGGAGGTAACCCAAGTATGTGGGGAGGTGACCCAAGTACACCTGAATGTGACCAAGCTGTAGTCCACAGCGGAGATAGTCCAGTCCGAGGTGGGAGGGCTGCGCTCCATGGTCGGGGGGCTAACCAGGCGAGTATCTCAATAAGAGGCAGAACTCGAACAAATGCGCACTGGGAGGGTAAGGGGGAGTGGGAAAGGGGCCTCTTATGGAGCCACCGCCCTTCCCCGTGCGTGCTATCTATGCGACCAATGGGGGCATCTCGTGAGAGACAGTCCCCAGATCGCCGCGCGAGAGAAGCACCAGGGTTAAACACCAAGGCCTCCCTAAAGAGGGGACCACAGAGAGGTGCAATCCACGTGGTCCCAACACAAATAAACTGTCATGATAATGGTGACGAATGACCCCCACGCAGATATTGACAACAACACCGCAGAATGTGGCGACTGCGGGTGACTGGCTGCGGGAGCTGGTGGCAGGAATAATGGGGGCCACGTCGCTCGTGGAAGGGCAGGTGAACAGGCGGCAAACCCGGATTCTGCTGGACACGTGGGGCGGTAATGTCACTCGTGAGTGCAACACATTGCAGCGTGGTCGGGGTTGAAGTGGGCCGCCGACAGGCCCCGGATCGTGCGCTGCACACTGCAAGTGGAAGTGGGATGGGACTGCTGGGGAGGGTCACCCTTAAGGGTCGCCTCGGACACCAGGTGAGTAACCAGGAGTTATACGTGTCGAGCGTGTTATGCCACGAGTGTATTGCTGGTACCGACCTCCTGGAAAAGTTGGGGCTCAGCGTGCAGCCCCGCCGGCGATGCGCCACCGTGGAGGGCAGCGGGGAGCAGATTCCTTTCTTGGGACAAGAGCCGGGTTGCCCCCGCTTCGAGCCCGTGGCCGCTATCCTGGCGTCGGCCGTCACCGTCGGCATTGGTGTTCCATTGGGTTTTCCGTTTTTCTCCCAAACCTAAACTCAAAATATATTTGGAGGTGGTCAAACAGTCCAATGCAGGACCCTCCTGAAACATAATCTTTAACTGCTAAATAAGAAATTAAATTGGAAAACCCTCAAACACAGTACACTATTTTTATTTTACCAGGTGAGGCCATCTGAGCTGCATAGCTCTTTTTCAGAATCGACCTGGACACAAATGATAGCTCAACTTAGTGGGTTAAAATATGGAAATGTATTGCAGCAAAATTCTCAAAATGCATGTTTCTAAATGTGGAGAAAAATCAATGCCACTACAGGGAGAGAGAGAAAAAAAATAAAAATGTAAACTGCAATTATAAATGCGTCAGGGTTGGAATCGAACTCACGCACGCAGAGTACGCTCACGGAGTACACTCACACAAATGAGTACACTCGCTCACTCGGATTATTTTTTCTCCGGGTCCTTCGATTTCCCCCCCCACATTTAGTAACATGCATTTAGATTATTTGGCTGCTACAATCTTCCACTTGAAAAGCCATTTCGTTGAGCTATCATCTATGGCCAGGTGGCTTCTGACAAAAGATCTAACAGCTCTGTGAGCCTTGGTTGGTAATATAAAAATAGTTGTTCATCGGTCTAAAGGGTGCATCAGCAAAACCAACCCGGCAGAACGCTCCTGAATTAGAGTGCTGAGACTCATTGTGGTCATGTACTCGAGTGTGCACCATGGTGGCTGGGAGATGTTAACTGCCTCTCCTGGAATACAGGAGGTGGTGGGTTCGATCCCGACCCCTCCTGTATGTTTGGAGTTTGCGCGTCTCTCTCCCCGTGGTCGCGTGGATTTTCCTCCGGATCCTCAGGGTTTTCCCTCCACATTTAGAGTCAACATCACCACGCGTTTACAGTATTTGACCGACAGACATTTCCACACGTTAAGCCACTTTGTTGTGGGCAGGTCGCTTCTGAAAACAAGAGCGGTATAGCAGCTCAAGTGGGCTTGGCCTGGTAGGATAATAAAAAAACGAAATACTTAAAAGAAACAAAGTTTCAGAGTAGTGAGCCAGATGAAGACAAATTTAACTTAAACAGAGAATTAAAGCAAATGCAATCAGGCGAGGGCAGGAGGCAAGGCCCCGCATGGCTAGACCCCGCGTTGTAATGTTCCAACCTGGACATCGATTCCATACTCGCTGCTACTCAATTGATATCCCTCCGAGAGGAGCGAGGCTCTACCTGAGTAAACATCAACAACCACGATGTGAACTTCTCACCTCGGATCTCAGTGAGCGCGCGCGCGGATCGGCTGCTTCCTGGTGTCTCGTGACGTCACGCGGCAGCAGGTGACATGACGTCACTAGCGGGGTTCACCTCCCCCTCACGCTGATGAGGTAATGCAGTGGTGACGTCAGAGAGCGGCGTTCGAGTTTAAGTTCATTAAGATTCCTATTCCATTGATCCCTCTATTGAACATTGACCCTTTGTGTGCGTGAGCTCAACAACGTGAACATTGTGTGTACAAACTGTGTATACAGTGTGTGTGTGTACAAACTGTGTAAACAGTGTGTGGGGACGTCCATAAATGACGTCACGCAACTGGGGAGGGGACGGTCAGACATTTGTGACGATGTGTGACGATGGGGGAGGGGGGTGATAAATGTGACGTCACATCAAAATGCGGAACTTAAATATCAATAGACAACACGTTCTACTTAATTTAACACGTAGCAGGCTTCCGCGATCAATATTATTCATAATATAGGTTTTTGTGTCAGATCGCGTTATTTATAGCCAATATGTACATGGAGAACTTAGAAACAAGAGCACTTGCTTCGAGTACATTAAAACCATCCTTTTGGTTTAGATATGTTGATGACACTTTGGTTGTCTGGCCACATGGTAAAGATGCACTTAATGATTTTCTAAATCATCTCAATGCACAGTGTACACACACACACCGTGTGTGTGTGTGTACACTGTTGGCACAGTAGGGGGCACAGGTGGTGCATCGGCCAGTCATCTCAGTTGAACCATGGCACCTGAGTCTGCCCTGTGACCTCCTGCTGGCGGGAGTTCGACACTTCACCTGGCCTTAACATGCACATAGCCTGGCACAAGCGCCATGGTGACGTCACCACCACGTATTGGCGAATGGCAGTCGTTGTTTTTGTTAGTGTGTTTGTGTATACAGTGTATGTGCAGACTGTTTGTACGCTGTATATACATTGTGTGTACACAATACGTCTACACTGCATGTGTAATGGGTTCCGGAGATACTTGTAGAGGTGTAGATGTGTAATTGTGTATGGGCACGGATGGCTAACAAACACAAGGGGCGTGGTTTGGGCCGTACACAGAGGAGGTGCTCACACCGACGTCCGCACCTGCATCCCCCATGGGCCCCTCCCGGGGGCCGAGTGCTATAAAAGGTGGTGAGCCGGAGGGCTCGAGGTCGAGTATTAGCTTTAACCAGCGAAGAGTGAAGACCAGCTAGAATAGGCCCCGGAGCTCCCCTGGCTCGCTGTCCTTGTCAGGGCCGACCAGGGCAAGCCGGTGGCGTGGCCCCGAGAGCCCAGATTGACGTTCTTATCAGAGCCGGTCTGGAGACTCAGGGTGCCGGGATCCCAGCTTGACCAGGGCTGGGATAGGTAGCCTCCCCTAGCTCCGTAGTGGAGGACTCGGGCGTAGGTTAGCGGGGTTAGACGTTGTGTCTCCCTGTTAGACGAGTGAAGGGCACGATACCCCTTCAAGTGCTGTGTATTCCCGTTACTGTACACAAGTTGGTATTAATAAATAAGTGTGCCTCCAACCACGTCGTCAAGCCTCCTGAATACTTACTACATCTGGGGTCAGAAGTGAACGTTCAACGATGGACACACGAGGGACGACACGTACCAGGGAGTCGGAGATGGAGGACACCTCGGCCGAACCGGCACCAGAGATGGCCGAGGTCGGATCGGAGCAGCCGGGGCCGAGTACACCCGCGTCGCTACGACAGGAAGGGAGGGATGCGTCGGCCGAGGGACTTCGGCTGGCTCACTCCCGCCTGGCGGAGTTGCTCTACGCTGCGGCCGCCACGTTGGAGGAGATCACGTGGCTGGGGGCTGGAGGGGCTGCGCGGGACGACGACGGCAGCCGACGCGCGGCGCCGTTTCCCGCCACCCCGACGCGGCTCGCGGTTAAATTTCCCGCCTTCACTACAGTGGGAGCAGAGGGCGGGGCCGGGCCACGTCAGGTGACTGCTGAGGGCCAAGCCCAAGCCGTGACATCATCAACACCGGCCAGCGCGTCAATAACAGAGCGACCGGCGATGCCATGCTCACAGCCCGCCCACACTGTAACGTCTGCTGGGAACAACGGAGTGCGATCCGCAGCCACAGACGTCGCGTTACAGCAGCGACTGCCGCCTCTCAAAAAATTCGTGGGCGCGGACGGGGACTGGGGCGGCTTCAAGAGACGGTTCATCGCTCATCAGGAGATGGCCAACTGGACGGACGCCGAAGCACTACGCGCGCTGCCGGCGATGCTGGACAACGACGCCCTGCCTACCCTTACCTCGGCGCCTAAGGAAAAGCGCGCCACGCTGCACTTGGCGCTGCAGCTGCTGTCAGCTGTCTACGGCCCGCCTTCGGACTGCAGGCAGCTGTTCCACGATCGTCATCGGGGCGCCAACGAATCGCCCCTGGCCTTCCGGACGGCTCTCCTGGCCCTGGCGAAGGCAGCTTTTCCGCGGATGGACGAGGAGGGAGTGGACGCTATGGTGGCTGAAAAGCTGTTGCTCCTCGCGGACGAGCTGGACGTCGCCGTCTTGGCTCAAGACGACACAGAGATGTCTTCCTTGCTGGTCGCGCGCCATATTCACGGAAGCTTGCGGTCCCTGCGTCGCAAGGCTACCAAGGAGGTGGCCGGCCATGCCATGGCGGCTACCACCCTCCCATCGGAGGAGGTCTGCGGGGTGGAGCAGCGGGGGGAATGGAGATCGGCGGGACCACAGGCTCGGAATGGACCGAGCCGCCAGGAGCAGCCCAGGCCATCTGGGGCGCTCACACGCTGCTACAACTGTGGCCTTCAAGGCCACGTTGCTTCAGGATGCCGGGCTCCCCGTCAGCGCGGGGCGACACCTCGTCAGGACGCCACGCCGTCTCCACCCAAGCTCCAGCAGAGAAATACGGCGAGTCGTGGCACCTCACACGTTTGGCCCATGCACACATCCGACACACACTCACGCGCTGAAATGAACAGGGCTCGCAAATCGACGGTCGTTGCGTCGGATTGTTCTGAATTGCGGCGAGCGCTCCAACCGGGTCAGTGGTCGGAGCTCGCCCATCGTGTCGTTGCAGCGTCGGCGGGATCGTCGGTCGTAGTCGGTCATATTGATGGGGTAGAGGTGCGGATTTTAATTGACACAGGGGCATCGGCGACCATTATATCTGATTTGATTTATAACATCCTTCCCGTTCAAAGTCGTCCCTTGCTCCCCATTGACGTGCCATGCTATGCTGCTAACGGGGGCTCGCTGGGCATCATTGGGCAAATCCGCGCCAAAATTTGCATTGGAGACATTAAATTATCCGGGCCTGTTTTGGTTTCCTCCTCACTGGCGGTTCCGTGCCTGTTGGGGACGGATTTCTTGGCCAAAATGCCCATTCGTATCTCGATCGACCAGGGGTGCATCGAGCTCCCGTCGGGCCGACGTGTAACGTTTTTGTCTTCCCCCACCACGGAGCGTCGGGCGTTTGCGACCGTGCAGGCGCTCGTGGCAAAAACTGTGCGCGTACCCCCGGGGGCTCAGATGCTCGTCCCTCTTAGGTTGCGTCGGCCGTTTGCTGAGGGGGTTGTGGATCGGGGGGTCTTGTTGGGACCATCTCGGGCCGGGGTCAATGGACCCGATTTGCTAGAGGCTCAGACCATGGTGAAAGGGGATGGGGACCCCTTCATTGCAGTCCTTAATGTAGGATCGCGAACGGCCGTGGTTCCTCAAGGGACCGTGCTTGCACACGCAACGCCGGCACCCTATGAGGAACCACTCGTGGGTCAGGTAAGCACCGATCCTCCATCGCGACCGCATTCGGACTGTGATGACGGATGGCTGGATGCGCTTTGCGCGGGATCAGTGCACCTGTCCGACTCGCAGCGTGCGCAGCTGCGAGTTCTCCTGAAAGAATTTGCCGACGTTTTTAGTCAACACAAATTTGATATTGGTTGTACTAAATTGCTGCGACACCATATTGACACGGGTGACAGCGCGCCAATCCGCCAAAATCCCTTTCGGTTGAGTCCCGCCGAAAAGGATCATGTCAAATCGGACGTTGATGACATGCTAGCCGCCGATATCATTTCCCCTTCCAACAGCCCGTGGGGCGCGCCGATCGTTTTGGTGAAAAAACACGACAGCTCACTGCGGTTTTGTGTCGACTTTCGGCGATTGAACAAAATTTCTGTGGCAGATGCGTACCCGCTTCCTCGAATGGATGAGTCGCTCGATGCCTTGGCGGGGGCGCGATTCTTTTCCACCCTGGATTTACTTTCTGGATTCTGGCAGCTTCCTCTGGATGACGAATCCCAACCTAAGACTGCTTTCTGTAAACCGCAAGGCCTCTTCCAATTTAACCGCTTGCCGATGGGCTTACATTCTGCGCCAGAAACTTTTCAGCGGTTAATGGAACTGGTCTTGGCGGGCTTGCAATGGGATTCGTGTTTAATTTACTTGGACGATGTCATCATCTTTAGCAAATCATTCGATGAACACCTCCAGAGGTTGCGTGCTGTTTTTCTCAAAATGCGGGCTGCCAATTTGAAATTTAAACCGCAGATGTGCCATTTGCTCCGCGAATCGGTGCGGTATTTGGGTCATATTGTTGGACGCTCGGGGATATCCACTGATCCCGCCAAAACGGAATGCGTCAGCTCCTGGCCGACTCCCACCTCGGTGGGAGAGGTCAGGAGTTTCATTGGGTTCGCGTCGTACTACCGACGGTTTGTGGCTGACTTCGCTACGATCGCGAAACCATTGCATGCCTTGACATCCAAGGGGGTCAGGTTTCATTGGGGGCCGGAGGAGGAGGCTGCTTTTGGCGCCCTCCGGAATGCCCTGGTGGGGGCTCCGCCGTTGAATTATCCCGATTTCTCACAACCCTTCTTGCTCGATACAGACACAAGTAACACGGGCATTGGGGGTGTGCTGTCCCAGCTCATTGGTGGCGTAGAGCATGTGGTGGCTTGCGGTAGTCGGGTACTGTCTCCGGCGGAACAACGGTACTGCGTTACCCGTCGGGAATTATTGGCAATTGTTTATTTCGTTCAGCAGTACTGCCCGTATCTGTACGGTC